CCCCTCCCTCTGCGGGCTTGAGCCGCTGGGGCGCCCCCGGAAATGACCCCCCTCCCCGGCACGCGCTCTGCCCCATCTCGCAGGTGGGGGACCACCGAGGGGAGACATCCCTGTTCCAAGCCGCCCAGCTGGAGGGGTCCCCCCGCACCGTGCACGGCGGCCCTGCGGGTCCGTCCTGTGGCGGCGGGAGCGGGGGTGGGGGGGCCGGGGACCCAGACTCCCCGAGTGGAGGGGGGAAGGCCGCCCCCGGGCATGGGTCCCGGATGGCTGGGGGGGGCCGCGATCCCGGCCCTGCCTGGACCTTCTTTGCCCCCCACCCCATTGACGAGCGTGCCAGGCAGCGGGAAGGCGAAGGTGCGATGGAAAGGCACCGAGAGGCCCAGGCCAGCGCCCTGCCCCTCTTGGAGCCCCAGTGTCCGTCTGCCGGGCCGGTGCCCCAGCTCTTCGTCTGTGACATCGTGCCCGGGAAGGAAGAGGTACCCTCACCCCACCCAACACGCACACCCCAGCACGGAGAGGGCCGGCCTGGGGCTGCCCCGGCGGCCAGGGGGCGGCTCTGCCCCGATCTCGGGGTCCCCCCCCCCCGCCCCGCGCGTGGGTTCCCAGCCCCGCCGTCGGCGCCCTCTGGCGTCGCCTTCACACCTTGCCGTCCGTGACCAGAATCCTCATGGGGGTGTTTTGTAAAATAAAGAAACTATAATAATATTAATGAAAAAAGTATAAAATGTATAGAGTTTTCAAGAAAAGTGTGTTCTACTTCCAGAAAATGGTCACTTTAAACCTTGTAAATATTTATCTGAAATGATATTTACAAAACTGTGATATATATTATTTGATTGTATAACTGTAAATACATTTGTACCTCTCTTGTATTCTAAAATAAAAATTACTTGGAGCATTTATCATTTGGCAGTTGAATGAGTTGACACCGTCCTTTGTGCCGATCTTAGGGTTTGAACTCAGGGCCTGGGGGGGGGCAGGGGAGGTGGGCACTGTCACAGAGCTTCTGTGCACAAGTTTAGAGTACACTGCCACTTGAGCCACAGCTTCACTTTCAGATTTTTAGTGGTTAATTGGAAATAAGAGCCTCATGGACTTTATTGCCCTGGCTGGCTTCAAACTGTGATCCTCAGATTTCAGCCTCCTGAACAGTTACAGGCATGAGCCAACTGTGCATGGCTGAGTTTACACCTTTGTCCACACGAGGAAGAAATACAGAGTTCCCAGGAGCTGGAAAGTATGGCTATCCCAGGCTGAAATACTTCCCGGAATAAAGAAAAGTCCGTGTCACCGGGGTGAGAGCCCAGGCCACAATATATGCTAATACACGCAAATGGTGGAAGCAGCTAGGCAGGTTTCTCCTGGTGTCCAGTGACTCGGAGATGGGTGTCCTTGCTTTGCTACTTCCCAAAGTTTTTACTTACGGATTTTTGTTTCCAGGGCCAACTTGGAGGGGATGGCAGCAGCTGGTGGGGATGGGTGAAGATGATAGTGGTGCTCTTCTCCAGTTTCCAGGTGTTCTGGGTAATTATTCCCAGAACCACCTCAATGAACAGGTGCAGAAAGGTCATCAATGAAGGGCAAAGGGCTTAAGGATTATACAGGGCTAGGCCTGGCTCTCCTCCCCAGGTCAGTAAGAGCAATGTAGGGTGTGTGTGTGGTGACTGGCACCAGTGGCTCACATCTATCATATCTATAATGCTACCTACTCAGGAGGCTGAGATCCTGAAGATCATGTTGGAAGTAGCCCAGGCAGGAAAGTCCTTGAGAGCCTTATCTCCAAGTAACCACAAGAAGCCAGAAGAAGAGGCATGGCTCAAGTGGTAGAGTGCCAGCTAAGGGACAGTGCTCTGTCCCTGAGTTTAAGCTCCAGTACTGGAGCACTTGCATGTGCGTGCGGGCGCGCACTCAGGCGCACGCGCGCGCACACACACACACGCCCCCCCACACCAGGAAAACAACAGTGCCACAGCAAACATCCACTTGTTGAGTCTCCAAATGGGCAATCTCACTTATTAAAGAAAGGCTCACTGAGTCAGACTTCAGAGAAAACAGTAGGGTCTTTGAACAAAAACCTAATTTGTTCTCCACCAGTAATTCTGCTGTGCCAAGTCTCAGCAAACAGGTCCCGGGGAACACACACAGGCTCCAGAACCCACCTGGTGGCAATGTGCAGTCATTGCACCTGGAGGTGCCTCACGTGTGATTGCTGTCCTGAATTCACACCCTTGTGAGTAAGCTCAGAGCTTTTCTTTTCTTTTCTTTCTTTCTTTCTTTCTTTCTTTCTTTCTTTCTTTCTTTCTTTCTTTCTTTCTTTCTTTCTTTCTTTCTTTCTTTCTTTTTTGTGCCAGTCTATGAGCTTGAATTTGGCATGGGCGTGGTCCCTGAGCTTTTTTTGCTCTAAAGCTGGCAAAGCTGGCACTCTACCACTTGTACCATAGCTCCACTGCCAGCTTTTTGGTAGTTTATTGGAGATAAGAGTCCCATGGACTTTCCTGCCCAGGCTGGCTTTGAACCTCAATCCTCAGATCTCAGCCTCCTGGGTAACTAGGTGACAGTCGTGAGCCACCACTGCCTGGCCATTCAGATCTTTTGCAAAAGCAATCCGTTTCTGATAGAGGAGACTGCAATGAATAAACAAGTAAGAAAATTCAAAGACAAGACATTCAACAGTATCCAGTGGTAAAAGAGGATTTGGTGGGAGAATTATTCATGACAAGGAGGTCAGGGATGCCTTCCCTGAGGAAGACAAAGATAGGAGAGGAGGCGCCAGCTAAACAAAGATCTGGGAGAGGAGGCTCCATGCCAAAAAGGCCCAAAGCTAAGTGATCTGGGGTGGTAGTGAGTGTGGCGTTCGTGAAACGGAGGGGAGGCCAGAGTGTCTGGCTGCAGCATGGTGAGGGATGGGCAGAGTGTTCAGAGTAAAGTGAGGTCCCAGACAGCCAGGGACGCCACAATGATGAGTTTGGATTTTATTCTTAGTGTACAGGGAAGTTTGCCAGAGCATTTTAAGCAGGAAAGTGATTTAATATGATCTGTGTTTTAAAAGCTCCCTCTGGCTGCTAGATGGAGTTTGGAAGGGGTATGGGGAGGGGAAGGGGGGGAAAACACATGTAGAATTAGGAAGGCCAGCTAGGAGGTCATTCTAGTTACCCTAGCAAGAGAGGAGACAAACAGATCTCCGAGGATGGCTGTGGAGATTCTCAGAGGAGGGATAGAAGCATGCGGCTGGCGGTCATCTGCTATGTTGTTTAGTCCTTTATGGGCCTCCATTTTCTCCTCTATAAACAGGAATCCACAAAGGCAACTCTGCCACAGGCTCCGTGAACTTGAGTACTGGGTAGATGAGCTGGGTTAGAGTTATGTCCCTCTCCCAGGGATTGAACCTGAGTGGTTTCAGTACTAAATTCCCATTGGTCTAGGACACACCACCCAAATGCTTCTTCCAGAGCTGCCTGGGCGAGGCTGTGGCTCAGAGGACACAGTCGCCCACTACTGGCCACAGCTGGGCTCAAGATGGACAGGTCTTTATCTGTACTAGCAACTGCCTTCTGGTGGCCAGGAGAGCAAAGGTCCAGCTGCCCACTTTGTAATAGGGTTGGCTTTTCTTTTTCCTTTCCTTTCTTTCCCTTCCCTTCCCTCCTCTTCCCTCCCCTTTCCCCACTCCCATCCCTTCCCTTCGCTTTCTTCTTCTTTTTTTTTTTGTGCTCAGGACTTGGGCACTGTCCCTTAGCTTTTTCACTCAAGGCTGGTGCTTTACTTTTTTTTTTTTTGCTTATGTGGTACTGAGGAATCGAACCCAGGGCCTCAGGCATGCAAGGCAAGCGCTCTACCACTGAGCCACATGCCCAGCCCCAGGCTGGTGCTTTACTACTTGAGCCACAGCACCACTTTCAGATTTTTTTCAGGTTCATTGGAGCCAAGTCTCATGGATTTGTCTGCCTGAGCTGACTTTGAGCCACCATCCTCAGATCTTGGTCAGTAGTTAGGATTAGAGGCGCAATGAAGTCATCTGTCCTGGCTTATTAAATTTTCTTTAGAATCTTGCTGTGCTGCAAGCTTTGTGGGGCAAGATCAATCGGTGAGCAGCAGCGAGTAGGGAGAAGGGACCAGGGAAATAGTCTTGCTAAATAGGATAAAAGCACATAATGACACCTGTTCATCCATTGCCCAATCCTTAGAATTGTGCAGGGCACACAGAATTCAGTTTCCTGAGTAGATACAAAACATCGTTGTAGGAAGATCTTTGTATTACCCATGCACTTGACTTCCCAACCAGATATGCCTGCCATGCAAGGTTTGGTTGGCTTTCTTAGGTGATTTTTAAATTTTTATTTTAACTAATTATTATTATTATTGATAGGCCGTGGGGCCTGAACTCTGGGCCTGGGCACTGCCCCTCAGCTCTTCAGCTCAAAGCTAGAGCTCTACACTTGAGCCACAGCACCACTTCTGGCTTTTTCTGCTTACGTGGTGCTGAGGAATCAAACCCAGGGCTTCATGCATGCAAGGCAAGCACTCTACCACTGAGCCACCTTCCCAGCCCCCATTTTTTTGTTGTTGTTGTTGTTGGTCATGTAGCCTGGACTCTGGGCCTGGGAGCTGTCCCTCAGCTCTTCAGCTCAAAGCTAGAGCTCTACCACTTGACCATAGCGCCACTTCTTGCTTTTTCTGCTTATGTGGTGCTGAGGAATCGAACCCAGAGCCTCATCCATGCAAGGCCACCTACCCAGCACATCATTTTTATTTTAATTTTTACAAAAATGCTAGAGTACATCAGCTTGAGAGGATTGAGGAGCTATGTTTGAGGGTGCAGGTGATGGCTGGAACAAGCACCGATAAGGAAGCTGTAATACACAAATCTGGGGCTACCGGGAAGGGCTTTTCCTCTGTTCAAGTAGATCCCACTCCCTTCCCAACTCTCTTATGTAAACTCATATAAAATACCAAATAACCTGTGTGGAGTTGAACAGAAGTTCAGAGGTCTATTTCTCAAGCACCTCAAACACCTGGAAAACCATAAGTAGGCTGGTGATGATGATAAAAAGTTAGATTAAAAAGTCTTAGGCCACACAACGTGAGAGGCTAATATTGCACAGGTGCTTCCTTGCCAACAGTAAATATGGCAACTACGCCCCCTCTGTCCCCTCAGGTGAACCCAAAGCTTTGCCAGTAGTCAACATGGCCGCAAGACCCTGCGTTCCCATTGGTTGCTGTTCTGAGGCCCCGCCTCTTCGGGAGTGCACAAGAGTTTTGGAGCTCGTCCGCCGGCTCCCAGGCAAACTGCGCCTGCGCAAGTCACTGGCGCCAAGATGGCGCTGGAGATGAGGCTTCCAGCGGTTCGCAGGCCTCTCAGCGAGACCCTGGGCCGCGACTCTAAGAAACACCTGGTGGTGCCGGGAGACACGATCACTACGGACACGGGCTTCATGCGGTACGTGGGGACTTGGGGCCCCCGGGGGCCGCAGGGAACGGCAGCGGGGCTCGCTGCACGTGGCCTGCCGGCCCGCACCCAAGCCATCCGCCCCCTCTGCGCGGGCTCCGCCGCGGAGCCGCGCGGTCGTCCGGCTCCCGAGCTTGAGCTCCCCACTTCCTGAACCGCGCGTCGCCTTCTGCGGGGATCGCGGGATCAGCCACGGTCTTTGACCGTCCCTTACTTTCGTGCTGTGTGCGGGGACCCCGGCTGCCCCCCCGCCCCGCCCCCAGTGTGGTCTCAGGGTGGTGCTCATAGCGCGACCCCCCAGACAAGGGTTTCCTGAGGTTGCATGGACTGGCCTTGAGCTGGCTTGTGTAGCCTAGGCTGGCCTCGAACTCCACGTCCTGCCGTCTGCCTTCCTCTGCCTCCCAAATGCGTGCACCACCACGCCTGGCAAAGGGGATTGGTTTTGAATCCGCTAATATTTGGGGCTTAGGGCAAACCTTGTGGCTGCTTGCATCTAATTATACAAACTTTGCATTTCAGAGCAGAACAGATGTGAGAGTAAAACTGGAGTTCTGGTCCTGCTACCTTGTTACCAGCTCCTTTGCCTCTCCTCTGCAGGGTGGGCTTCCTCATCTGTTAGTAGTGAGAACAGTAGCTGTTTTTAGCACCAGAGTTAAATGACATCATAAGAAAAGTCGCAAAATCCAACATTAATAATGGTCGATTACAGTATTGATAGTTCAGTTCTGGTGGGCTTTTATTTTTATTTTATTCTTTAATACATGAACGTAAATAAGGAAGGCTACAACATTTGTAGCACTGCCTTTACAGCTTTTAGTTTCGGATTATTGGATACTAGAACGTTAGGATTCGTTCTGACATTCTTTTATTTTTGTCCGTCGTGGGGCTTGAACTCTGGGCCTGGGCGCTGTCCCTCAGCTCTTCAGCTCAAGGCTAGCACTCTACCACTTGAGCCACAGCACCACTTCCGGTTTTCTGAATGGTTTATTGCAGATTAAAGAGTCTCATGACCTTTCCTGCCCAGGCTGGCTTTGAACCGCCACCCTCAGATCTCAGCCTCCTGAGTAGCTAGGATTACAGGCGTGAGCCCCCGGTGTCTGGCTCATTCTGACATACTTTTAACCCATATTTTGTGCAACTGGGGTATAACACTGAAAAAAGTAAAAAATCTCTATTCTGATGGAATTTATTTAACAGGGAGAGACCAGTAATAAACAATAAACAAGCTGGGTACTGGTGGCTAACTACTCAGGAGACTGAGATTTGAGGTTCAAGGCCAATCTCAGCTGCAAAATTGGGGAAACTCCTATCTCCAGTTAATCAACAAAAGGCTAGATGTGGAGGTGTGGCTTAAGTGGTAGAGCACCAGCCTTGAGCAAAAAAGGTAAGGGACACCGCCCAGGCCCTGTTCAAACTCTAGTACAATAACACAAGTAAGTTAAACAAAAACAATAGGCACAAGTTAGTTACTCAGAACGTTAATTGATGGTTGTAGTGGGAAAAGAGTGGACATGTGGCTACAGGGTGGATACCAGGTGATGAGGTAGGCTTGCTGGAGAAGCTGACGTTTGAGTAAGATGACTTGTCCAGACAGATGTTCGTGTAGCTCTTCCAGGAGAGCTGGTCCTGTTAAGTTTGAAGAATACATTACTCCCTTCCCTCCCTCCCTCCCTCCTTCCCTCCCTCCCTCCCTCCCTCCCTTCCTTCCTTTTTTGTGGTATTGGGGTTTGAACTCAGGGCCTTGTGCTTGCTAGGCACTTGAGCCATACCTCCAGCTCCGTTTGCTTTAGGTTGGTTTTCAGAGAGGTTCTTATGCTTTTTGCCTTTTCTCCTGTCCGCATGATCTTAGCATAGCTGGGATCACAGATATGAACCACCACACCTGGCTTATTTGTTAAGATGGAGTCTCACTACTCCCCCCCCCCCCCAGTCTCAAAGCCTGGTTTCTCTGCTTCTTGCCTATCTATCTGCCTGTGAGTAACTGGCCTTAATCATCACATTGTTAATGGGAGAGGTGACCTTCGGCGTGACACTGGAACCCTGTGTTATAACAGAGGTCATGGAACGTATATGGGGGAAGAGAAGCTCCTTGCGTCTGTGGCTGGCTCTGTGGAGAGAGTGAACAAGCTGATCTGCGTGAAAGCTCTCAAAACCAGGTGAGAACAGAAGGTGTGGATTCCCCTTGTACATCAGGTCATCGCTGCCTCCCCTTAGTTCCTACCCCTTCCTTGTCTACCTGCCACCTGCCCCATCCAGTTGGAGGTCTGGGATATTGAGTGCTACTAGAGGAAGGGTGGTGGAGGGTATTTTAGCAGTGGTCAGTGCAGCTTCCCTCGGTCACCTGAGGGTGAAAATAGTATGACCTATCCAGAGGGCTTTTGTTAGAATTCATGGAATGATGCATGGAACATACTTCCAGCAAGGTCAGTACCTAGAAGTGGTTATTAACACTTAGGGAAGCCAGGGGAGTTGGTACGGATGGCGACAGAAGAGCAGGAGCTGAGCTGGGTGGACTGCTGATCTGTCTGGTAGCCATGGTGAGCTTTTGGGCTTCCACTGTGATCCAGGAAGCTGCTAGCAAAGGGGAGGAGAAGAGGAGGGCTGTGATCTGAGTTAGGTTATTTTTGTGTGCTTATACCTGATCTTTAATTCAGGGCCTGGCGCTCCTGCTCTGCTTTCTTGTTTTTTTTTTTTTTTGTTTTGTTTTTTGGGTCCCATCGTGGGGCCTAAACTCTGGGCCTGAGCGCTGTCCCTCAGCTCTTCAGCTCAAAGCTAGCGCTCTACCACTTGAGCTACAGCGCCACTTCTGGCTTTTTTCTTTTTGCTTATGTGGTGTTGAGGAATCAAACCCAGGGCCTCAAGCATGCAAGGCAAGTGCTCTGCCACTGAGCCAACTTCCCAACCCTCCTGCTCTGCTTTCTTGCTTCTCACAGCTGACTAACTCGAGCCATGCCCCTAGTACTACATTTTTGGTGTTGGAGATGGAGACTTGTATACTTTCTTGCCCTAGGTGGCTTCGAACCACAGTCCTCCAGGTCTCAGCTTCCTGAGAAGCTAGGATTACAGGCGTGAGATACCAGAGCCTGGCTGACTTAGGTTTTAATCTGATTGTCGTTGGTCTGCTGGGGACATTGAAGCAGGATGGGGCAGGTTTAGGGACATGGCTTAGAGAACTGTAATGGGAAGGGATGGCAGCACGGAGGTGGTGTACTCTGCTTCTCTGCAAAGCAGGGGCAGGGCGGGGGTGATTGACGCTAAAGGAACTACTTGGCATTTGGTGATTTGTGTGCAGATCTCTCTTGCTGCTTCCCCCACATCTCTGAAGGTGCTCCATGTTGTGAGAAAGCCTGTTGGCTGATGGGCGCCTTCTATTTTGTGTTTCAGATACAACGGTGAAGTAGGAGACATTGTAGTGGGCAGAATCACAGAGGTAAAGCCGATGCTGCTGGGTTTTATGAAGCGGAGGCAAGCTGGTGGCGTAGAAGCCTTTGGCTGTTGTGTGGCCTGCAGCTTGTTCCACTGAATTAATTGGTTGCTTAGGGTGTGAGCTGCCCCGGAGTGTGTGTCTAGGTGTGAATCTCGCTCCTAGGTTCAGCAGAAGAGGTGGAAGGTGGAGACTAACTCTCGGCTGGACTCAGTCTTGCTGCTTTCGTCCATGAACCTGCCTGGAGGAGAGCTGGTAAGGGCCTCGAGGGGCCTCGCACGGTGCAGGTGGCCAGCAGGAGTTGGTCAGGAGCTTCGCTCTGCCAGTGTTTTGCTTTGTGCAGAGGTAGCTATTCCTGTTGTCTATGAGGTGTGCTGCCTGGCGCATGCAGGCTTTAGACCTGCCCCTGCCTCCCCGCACACACAGCAGCTGGCGTGGGGTAAGAGCAAGAGGCTCTTAGATCCTGGTGCTGATCGTTTTCCCTTCGCCGCATAAGCTTCCCACAGTGAAGGCATGCCTCAAAAAGTTATCTGTAAGCATGGCACTGGTGGCTCCCGCCTGTCATCCTAGCTACTCAGGAGGCTGAGATCTGAGGATCTCGGTTCAAAGCCAGCCTGGGCAGGAAAGCCTGTGAGACTCTGATCTCCAATAAACCACCAGAAAACTGGAAGTGGCGCTGTGGTTCAAGTGGTAGAGGGCTAGCCTTGCGCGAAGAGCTGGGGGACAGCACCCAGGCCCAGAGTTCAAGTCCCACGACTGACCTCTCCTCCCCCTCCAAAAAAAAAAGTTATCTGTAGATTAAGTTTCGCTGAATTGAATGACATTTATTCCAGACAGCTGTAGCCTTTTGTGTACTACCTGCCTCAGTTTAGCCTGTCTTACAGACAGCACTCTGCTCACTCCTGTGGGAAATGCCAGGAGCTTCCAGGCTGGCAGGGAACAAGCGTGTGCCACGTGAATGATTAATTCGAGAGAGGAGCTCATAGGAAAGACTGGTATTGGAGTTGATTGTTGAAGGATAGAAGTGAGTTTGGGGAAATGACGTGGGCTCAGAGCAGGCGCTGTAGGAGCAGGTGCTATCATGGAAAGGCTGGGTTAGCTGAGGGGTTTCAGAGAGCAGGAGAGGCATTTCAACGTGGGAGGGAGGGAGGGAGGGAGGGAGGGTGGGGCGTCCTCCTGGAGAGCCCATCACCTCCTTCCCCAGGGGCCTAGGGTCCCCCTCCTGCCCTCATGTTTAAATAGCAGGGCTGACTTCGAAGATCTCAGGAGGCGAAATCCAGAAGTGGTGAAGGAGCTCTCTGAGGACCTGACTCAAGTAACGTGGTTGTTTTTTGTGTATTTCAGAGGAGGAGATCAGCAGAAGATGAGCTTGCCATGAGAGGTTTCTTGCAGGAAGGGGACCTCATCAGTGTATCCTTGTGTCCCAGCCTCCTGTTGTGCCCCCACCCCCACCCCACAGGACCGGAAATGGAGATGTCCTTTGTGTCAGCTGTGCTGGATGTCTTCTATGACAGGAGGGACCAGAGTCCTGCGTCAAGTGTCCAGGGCTCTGCTGTGGTCTTTCTCTGGTTCCTTTTTTGTATGTGTGCTAGTATTGGAACTTGAATTTAGGGGCTCGGCATTGTCTCTGAGTTTTTTTGCTCAAGACTGGCACTCTACCACTTGAACTCCATTTCTTGTGTGTGGGTGTGCCAGTCCTGGGGCTTGAACTCAGGGCCTTGGCACTGTTTCTGAGGTTTTGTGCTCAAGGCTAGTGCTGTATCACTTTGAGCTACAGTTCTACTTCTGGCTTTTTGGTAGTTGATTGAAGTCATGCGGACTTTCCTGCCTGGGCTGGCTTTGAACCATGATCCTTAGATCTCAACTTCCTGAATTGCTAGGATTACAGGTGTGAGCAACTGGAGCCTGGCCACACTTGTTTCTTGTTGGTTAATTGGAGATAAGAGTCTCCTGGATTTTCTTGCAGGGTTAGCTTTGAAACTATTTTCAGATTTCAGCTTCCTGATTAGCTAGGATCACAAGGAAAAGCTGCCAGTGCCTGGTTTGTTTCATTTGTATGTGTGCCCTCACAGGTGGGTGGGAGAGAGAGAGAGAGAGAGAGAGTGTGTGTGTGTGTGTGTGTGCGCGTGCGTGTGCGTGTGTGCGCGTGCGCGCTAATAATGGGCTTGAACTTGTCCTGTCTTAGCTTTTTTTAAAATTTTTTATTTATTTATATTTTTTTGGGTCCGGTCATGGGGCTCGAACGCTGGGCCTGGGCGCTGTCCCTCAGCTCTTAGCTCAAGGCAAGCGCTCTACCACTTGAGCAACAGCTCCACTTCCGGTTTTCTGGTGGTTTATTGGAGCTAAGAGTTTCACGGACTTTCTTTCCTGGGCTGGCTTTGAACCACAATCCTCAGATCTCAGCCTCCTGAGTAGCTTGGATTACAGGCGTGAGCCACCAGCGCCTGCTGGTTCTGGCTTTTTGCTGGTTAATTGGAGATGAGTGTCTCAGAGTTGTCTGCCTGGACTGGCTCTAATCCTTGATTTCAGCCTTCTGAAGAGCTAGGATTACAGATGTGAGCCACCGGCACCAGGCTTCTCTGCCTCCTTAATTCAGGAAGATGCCTTAGCTCTGTTCAGACCCCTCTTGTAACTCTAACCTGTATAGCCTTGTGGTCTGGGTTGTAATAGGCTAGACGTGGGCTTTGTTAATGGTGGCTTTTGTTGTTGTTGTTTTATTTTTTATGGTAGTACGAGGGTTTGTACCAGGACCTTGTGCTGGCAAAACCAGTTTCGCCACTCCTGCCCTTTTGCCTTTTTGGTTTTGGTTATATTTTAGTGTCTTGCATTCTTGCTGAGACCTGGACTGCAGTCCTCTTTATTCCTCCTGTGTAGCTGAAATGATGGGTGTGTCCTAACACATCTCACTTACTGATTCAGATGGGGACTCAAAATCTTTTTGCCCTGCCTGGCCTCAAACTGAGACCCTCCTGAGTATCTGAGATTACAGGCGTAAGCCATCATGCCCAGCCTAAAGCTAACTTATCCAGGGGGTGGAAAGGCAGGTGTCAGCCAAAGGGAGAAGTGAGGCCACACTGATGTTCTCGGCATGCTGCTAAGATACCGAGATGGGCTGTTGGAGACAGGAGGGGAAGACAGAGGTCGGGGAGGCAGGTATTGCCAGAGCAGGCTGCCAAGGTTACCATTTGTTCCTTCACCAGCACCCTGGCCAGGCTGAGGTCCAGGCGGTGTTCTCAGATGGCGCTGTCTCCTTGCACACGAGGAGTCTGAAATACGGAAAGGTAAGTTGAATTCTTGCCATTTCAGTTTATCATTTCAGATTTCAAGACCATTTCAGATTCTCAGAGCTCCCGGCCGTGTTGTCTGCAATAAAGAACCCAAGTAGGCCGGGTGCCAAGTGGCTCCCGCCTGTCATCCTAGCTGCTTAGGAGGCTGAGATCTGAAGAGTAGGGTTCAAAGCCAGCCCGGGCAGGAAAGGCTGTAAGACTCTTAGCTCCAATAAACCACCAGAAAACCAGAAGTGGCACTGTGACTCAAGTGGTAGAGCGCTCACCTTGAGCTGAAGAGCTGAGGGACAGTACCCAGGCTCAGAGTTCAAGCCCCATGACCGACCAAAAATAAGAGTCCAAGGACAGCCTGGACTATATAACAAGACTGTGTCAAGGAAAATGGGGAAAGGATTGTAGTTTAGTCCTACCGCCAGCATCTCGTAGCCTGCCCCTCTGCCCAGAGCCTAGTGGGAGGAGTGGGCATTTCCATGGTTCACAGCACTGTTAAGCTTAGCCTTTTCCAGTTGAGATGGTTCTGGTAGAAGAGCACCACTGCCTGGAGCTGGCCCAGCTGAGGTGGTCCTTGGAACAGGGAAGCCAGGGCTGTATCTAGAGCAGTCCAGCCTCTGGTCCTGCTTGGAAAGAGTTGTATATCATCTAAGTCTGGACGGGCATTCACCGCTTTTCTCTGCTGAACAGACATGCGTACATCCTGAAGCACATGATGCCGTGCTGCATGTGTGTGCTGGCTTCCCGGGTCCCCCTGCCATATTTGTGTACTTGAGGTGGGGGCTGAAGGCTGTGCTGTGCGCCCTTTCCCAGCAGCACGCAGGCCTGGAACCGGCCTGCCAGGACCAGCTCTTGGCCAAAGCAGTGACACACATCTCGTGGGGAAGATGAGTGCTTGGGGTTGAGGCCGAGGGAGGTCCTGGGACGGGACAGCATTCCCTGGCTGGTGGCAGGCTCCAGCCTCCCCAGCAGCCGGCATTTTATTTTATTTATTTATTTATTTATTTATTTATTTATTTTTTTGTCGGTCATGGGGCTTGAACTCTGGGCCCGGGCGCTGTCCCTAAGATCTTCAGCTCAAGGCGAGCACTCTACCACTTGAGCTACAGCACCACTTCTGGTTTTCTGGTGGTTTACTGGAGATAGGAGTCTCACGGTCTCTCCTGCCCGGGCTGGCTTTGAACCTCGATCCTCAGATCTCAGCCTCCTGAGTAGCTAGGATTACAGGCGTGAGCCACCAGCGCCCAGTGCAGCTGGCATTTTAAACAAAGAAGAAGAATAAGGAAAAGTCTGACAGCCTCTCGCTCAGGCTGGCTTTGAACCCCAATCCTTAGATCTCAGGGCCCTTAGTAACTAGGGTTACAGGTGTGAGCCTCTGGCCCCTGCCTTCCTTTTTGGGGAGAATGTGTAAAGGGCCTCTGGGTTCAGAGGCGCATGCGTTGTAAAGAGCAGGTGCAGCAGTGAGGGGGCAGGATGCTGGTTTGGACACGCCGGTGAGCGGTGATGTTAAGCCACTCTATTCACCTTGCCCATGGTCCACGCTGATCAGGCCTCGCATCTGTGTGTCTAGCTAGGTCAGGGCGTTTTGGTGCAAGTGTCGCCCTCTCTGGTGAAGCGGCAGAAGACTCACTTCCATGACTTGCCCTGCGGAGCCTCTGTGATTCTGGGTAACAACGGCTTCATCTGGATCTATCCAACCCCCGAGCACAAAGACGAGGATGCTGGGGGCTTCATTGCCAACCTGGAGGTGAGGAAGTGCCGTGGGCATGGAGCCACGGTCTCTACCCCGTGGCATGTGTGTGCGGGATTTTGTCAGATGAACACAAGATGTTCTTGTCCTGGCGGTCTAGCTTAGGAGACCACCGTGTCTACTCCATCAGTCTATGTCGGGCAGTGGCTGGCACGCCGCCGTGCTGAGCCTGCCTATTTGTGATTGCTGGGGTCAGGATGAGTTTGGGCTTCTGTCTGGAGGTGTTCTGAACACTCTTGCTTGTGGAGATGCGTAGTTGCAGTGTATTTGCCAAAGCACCACTGAACAAGCCTCTGCTTGGTCTCCTCCTTCAGACGTAGCTGTTTGACAGACGTGAAGTCCCCAAGGTCTGGGGTGTGATCTCTTTTCTGTGACTTCCGGGGCTGTCCACTTACTGTGGTCCTGATTGTATTCCCCCGACTCCTGTGTCCCCTTGCAGCCTGTCTCTCTTGCTGATCGAGAGGTGATCTCCCGGCTCCGGAACTGCATTGTCCTGCTGGTGACCCAGAAGATGCTGCTCTATGACACCAGTATCCTGTACTGCTACGAGGTGTCCCTCCCCCATCAGGTACCCCTGCTCTCCGTCCCTCCCCCGTCAGGTACCCCTGCTCTCTGTCCCTCCCCCATCAGGTACCCCTGCTCCCCGTCCCTCTGCCCTGGAGCTGTTCCTGTGTCTCCTCAGTCAGCAGCCTGTGTCCCATGCATTTCACCTGTCTGTGCATCATTGGGAACTGGTTTATTGCTGTCTTGCAGATCTTTCCCCAGGACACTCAATATCCAGTCAGGCTAGGGATTGGGGATGGGGGGTGGAAGTGTTAGGTTGGACTTGTTGATGACAGCAGCCTGCTTGACTTGGTTTTCCCCATACCAAATTATATACCTCTCTTTGACAGTACTGGGATTTGAACTTGGGGCTTCCCACTTGGTAGGCAGATGTTCTACCATTTGAGCCCCACATCTATACTCTTGTTTTTTTTTGGGTCCGGTCATGGGGCCTGAACTCGGCCTGGGCGCTGTCCCTCAGCTGTTCAGCTCAAGGCTAGCGCTCTACCACTTGAGCCACAGCACCACTTCCGGCTTTTCTTATGTGGTGCTGAGGAATCGAACCCAGGGCCTCATGAATGCAAGGCAAGCGCTCTACCACTGAGCCACCTTCCCAGCCCTCTTTTGTTTTTTTGTGTGTGTGTATATTGGTATTGGGCCTTGAACTCAGGACCTTACATTCTTGCTTGGCTTTCTTGCTCATGATGGGTGCTCTACCACTTGAGCCACAGCTCAGTCTTGTGGATTTTTCTGCCCAGTCTGGTTTTGAACTGTTACCATCTAGGTTTTAGCCTACTAAATAGCTAGGATTATAGGGATGAGGCAGTAGCATCTAGCTTACTTTATTAATTTCTTCAGCTAGAGTCTTGTTTTTTTGTCCCAGCTGCCCTGAACGTAATCCTATTACCTATGACTTTCAGGTACCTGGGATGACAGTTGCGAATTACCACAAGTGGCTCATTTTTTGTGGATGGGGGGTCTCATTACCTTTTTGCTAGGGATGGCTTCAAGTCATGATCCACCAATTTCTTACTTCCCAAGTAGCTGAGATTACAGGTGTAAGCCTTTTCACCTGGCATCAACTATCTTATTAATGGAAGTTAGAATATCTTTGTTCCTGTCCACTAGAGCCCAACCAGTCTTGCTGACTGCTCAAGCCATGTCTGGCAGTACTTAAGAGTCTGATAAAGACACAGGGTACAGAAGGTTTATGTTCAATGTGCTTAGTTTCTATATTTGGATTGATGATTGGTTTATAGAACCAAAACGAAGATGATTCTTTTTCAGATCAAAGACATCTTGAAGCCAGATGTAATGGAGGAGATTGTACTGGAGACACGCCAGCGGCTTTTAGAACAGGAGGGCTGAGGAGGGCTCCTGAAGATGGGACTGTGGACCTTGCTGGAGATGTGGATGGGAGGAGTCGGTGGCCTCGGATGGATCTGACACTCTTTACTCGCCTGCTTCTCTGCCACATGGCTGCCTTCAGCTCAGGGCCTGCCCACTGCTGTGCTGTGCTGGTGCAGCCTGGGTGGAAGTGAACGCCGCCCCTGGCCCCTTGGGTCCTGGCTGAGTCCCGGTGCAGCTGTTGGTTTTTAGGTCCTCAGAGTGAGCAGCATCCAGTTAGATGACACTGCCCCCCTTGGCCTCAATTCTGGAATAATACGGAATTCTTGTCTTCCACTCCCTGTCACTTACAAGGCGTGTGCCTGGTGAGGTAGTCAATAGAAAACACGGCATTGCCAACCATTTTACCACTTTTTTACTTTTGCTTTTTGTATGTGCTGGAGCTGGGGCTTGAACTCAGGGTCTGAGTGCTGGCCCTTAGGTTTTTCACTCAAGGCTGATGCTTTACCATTTGAGCCACACCTCTGCTTCTAGCTTTTGGTTAGGTAATTGGAGAGGACTCTCACGGACTTTTCCTGTCCAGGTTGGTATTGAACCTTGATCCTGGAATCTCAGCCTCCTGAGGATCTAGGATTACAGGCATGAGCCAAAACAAATAAGTTTAAGACTGTCATTGGTACCGGTAGCCCAGCAGTGCAATAAAGCTTGGCCTTTTGCTAGACTGGTATCTCCTCTCCTGCGTGTCCCTGTGTTAGAGTTGAGGGATACACCAGGCTGCCTTACCTGTTCTGCTTTTGAGGATGCTCTGAACACTTTGGGGGTACTTTGATCAATATGAAGAAAACATAAAAATGGAGATAGGGAAAGCAAAGCTGTTTTCTTCCTGTAATGAATGATTTCACTTCTGAATAATTAAGGGTTAAAAAATAGAAACCAGATACTACAATTTGGAAGAATGTTGGATTCTGATTAAAAAATATAGTGTTCTGTCTGGGTGCCTGTGACTCATACCTATAATCTCAGGAGGTTGAGATCTGAGGATTCATGGTTTGAAGCCAGCCTAAGCAGGAAAGTTCATGAGACTCATCTCCAATTAACCACCAAAAAAGCCAGAAGTGGAGCTGTGGCTTGTAGAGTTCTAGCCTTCAGCAAAAAACACTCAGGGATGGTGCCCAGGCCCTGTTGGTAAAGTAAGCCCCTGGACTCTCGGGTGCATATGCACATACATACAATTGGTGTCCTCAGATAGTTTTAGGAAATGTGTATACCAGTAGTACTAGCGCTTAACCTCAGGGCCTAGGTGCTGTCTCTGAGTATTCACTCAAGGCTAGAACTTTCACTTGTCACTCCAACTTCCAGCTTTGTTGGTGGCTTTTCCTGTCCTCATTGGCTTTGAAGTGTGGTCCTCAGCTCTGAGCCTCTTGAGTAGCTAGGATTACAGTAGGGGAGCCGCCATGCCCAGCCTGGGAAACAGTTTTGGAAGGTTCTGTATGTGCATGTACTGTATGTAATATATCAGAACACTTTTGCTTAGGGCGTTAGGTGCAGGGTAGCTGCGTATAACAGCCGAGGCTCAGCGGCTTCGCCATCTTGGCTGAGGGGGTGCCAGGACGGCAAATCCCTATGGCTTCAGTCCTACCCACTACCCTGCACTTCAGCTCTCTTGCATCAGATGGCATGTTTCTTTGTAGCACCCTCCAGTAGGCAGCTTTTTATTTCATTTCTGCGTTAGCCACCTACTTTGAGGAGTTTGCAGACACCTGCATATTTCTGTAGGCTGAAAGGCAACTTTAGGTAGGCTCACCTGTCATATTTCTGTGAATATGCAGGTTGAATTCCTCCCGACAGAGGGGTCCCTCCTCACCTGGCTTTTTCCAAGCTGCCAGCAGAATGGTGATCTCCCATTCCCGCAGAAATGCAAAGGTCTGAAAGCACCTCTTGGTGATGGGCTGCTTCCCACAGCCCACAAGGGGGCGCTCCTGTGAAATGTAACATCACTGTAAAGATCATAATATACGAGCCTGAAGAGATTTGCTTAATATGGGGGAACATTTTGTTAGTCATTTTCTGGGTTTTAAGTTCTAGTTTTAAAGTCTTTTAAGTATGCTGTAGTGTTATAACAGGCTTTAAGCACGACCATGTATTTGTAGAAAAATGTATAGTTGGCATAGTACTCCCCTAAATCCAGAAAAACCGGTCAATGTGATAACTGGGCCTCAAGGTCATTCCTGAGTGCAGTTGACTTCCGCCTGCGAAGGGCTTTGAAACCTAGCTAGGTCTAGTTTATCAGAGTAACTGAATAAAGCCACAGTGATGGCCCAAGTGCCAACTTAGAATTTAAATGGCCAATCTGGGGCAGGTTTAAGCTTTAAAGGCATTAAAACCATCCCCTATAAAGGAGGCCAATTTGAACTGATTGTGAAAATTTATGAATCCGGACATTTAGTGTCCAGCACAGGCTCTGATCCTGTGTGTGGATTGATCATTGTTTTATTACTGTAGCCCTCTAGTCCAGGTACTCAGTAGATGATTTGTAAGTGAATTTGATGGTGTTGGTTGCTCATACCCATAATCCTAGCTACACCATTTGGAGAATCTCAGGGTTTTTTGTTTTTTTTTTTGCTGGTCTTGGGGCTTGAACTCAAGGCCTAGGCACTGTCCCTGAGCTTCTTTTGCTCAAGGCTAGGGCTCTACCACTTGAGCCACAGCACCACTTCTGGCTTTTCCTGTGATTAATTAGAGATGAGGTGGGCTGGGATTAATGGTAGAGTGCTTGCCTAGCATACATGAAGCCCTGGGTTTGATTCCTTAGTACCACATAAACATGGCATTGTAGCTCAAGTGGTAGAGTGCTAGCCTTGAGCTGAAGAGCTCAGGGAGAATGGCCAGGCCCAGTGTTCAAGCACCATGACTGGGAAAAAACAAAGAAATTAGAGATGAGTTCCATGGGCTTTCCTGCCTAGGCTGGCTTTGAACCTCGGTCCTCAGATCTTAGCCTCCTGTAGGTAGGACTACAGGTGTGAGCCATCAACACCTGGCATTCTTTTTGCTAGTCCTGGAGCTTGAACTCCAGGCCCTAAGCACTGTCCCTGAGCTTTTGCTCAAGGCTAGCACTCTTACCACTTGAGCCACAACACCACTTCTGGCTTTTTCTGTGTATGTGGTACTGAGGAATCAAACCCAGGGCTTCATGCATGCTAGGCAAGCACTACCATTAAGCCACATTCCTATTCCCCTGGCTTTTTTTTTTTTTTTTTTTTTGGTCATGGGGCTTGAACTCTGAGCTGGAGTGCTGGCCCTGAGCTCCTAACTTCAAGACAAGCACTGTACCACTTGAGCCACAGTGCCACTTCCAGTTTTTTGAGTGTTTAATTGGAGATAAGAGTCTCATGGACTTTTCCTGCCAAGGCTGGCTTTGAACCTCGATCCTCAGATCTCAGCCTCCTGAGTAGCTAGGATGACAGATGTGAGCCACTGGCGCCTGGCCTGGCTTTCTTTTTTTTTTTTGGGTCCGGTCGTGGGGTCTGAACTCTGGGCCTGGGCGCTGTCCCTCAGCTCTTCAGCTCAAGGCTAGCGCTCTACCACTTGAGCCACAGTGCCACTTCTGGCTTTTTTCTTTTTGC